ATATTGCTATGGTTTGTGGGATCATCTGACCCACTTAATGACTTCAGCTCAGAATCCCCAAATGCAAGCATTCCACTAGCCTCAGCCTTCCTAGTAGCAGAAATTACAGGTATGTGTTACCATGTCTGGCATAACTGCTTTTACTTGACATAGTTTTGGAAATACTTACAATTTCAACTTGATGACATCATATATTTAGAAACCCTAAAGATATGAATTAAGACATAAACAATAGAAGAATTTAGCTGTCCCAAGAACCAGATTAAGCTACAAAAATCTTTTGCATTATTTAATACCAATAAAGATCAATAACACATGACAAATATTGACAGCTCTAAAACTAAATCACTGAAATAAAGATATGAATAATTGGAGGGACATTTGTTTTTCGTGAGTGAGATTAATATAATAAAAAGACATTCCATTCCATATTAACTTTAATATTTAATGCAATAACAGTGCCAAGAAGTTCATTTTTAGGATTGGATGAAACCACAATGAAACTTTTTTGAAAAAAATAAATGGTCTGGAATATCAAAAGAATGCCAGAAACAAAAATCCAGTGAAGTTTTTTGCCTTGCTCTTGTATCAGAGCATTTATCAAAATTCACTTCATCCTAGGAAAAGAAGAAAGAATAAGTTATTGTGATAGAATAGTAGCCAGAAATCCAACCAAATGCATATAAAATATTAGTGTTTGATAAACCCAATAGTATTTTTTTACACTAATGAACACTAGCTCAGTGAATCTGCGCTGTATGGTAGATTTTAAAACGAACTCTAACAAGCCTACAAGAAAATAGAATATTATGTCTGTCTTAATTATGGAGGAGAGAATACGTGGATCACTTTGCTTAATTGGATTTTTTACCAAGCTTTCACAACTCCTTTCCATTTTTTTATGAGGTGATGTTGCTCATAATCTTCAATTGCAGATTAACTAAATTAAATTACCTCTTCAATTTGGATGTCTTTCATGACAACCTTGTTTGAATTTATTTAGTATTTTTATTTTTTCCCCAGTTACATGTAAAAACAAATTTTATCATTTGTTTTTAAAACTTTGAGTACCAAAATCTTTCCCTCCTTCCCCAATTGAGAGAGCAACCAGATTGATGTAGGTTATACATGTATAGTCATGCAAACTATATCCATAATAGCGATGTTGTGAAAGAAAACAGGAAAAAAAACCTCAAGAAAAATAAAGTAAAAAATGTATGCTTCAATCTGTATTCAGACACCATCAATTCTTTCTCTGGGGATGGACAGCATTTTTCATTATAACAGAGTTGTCTTGGATCGTTGTTTTGCTGAGAATAGCTAAGTCATTCACAGTTGATCATCTTACAATATTGCTGTTACTTTGTACACAGTGCATTTCATTTTGCATCACCTCATGTAAGTCCTGATTTTTCAGAGAGCATTCTGCTCATTATTTCTTACAGCACAATAATATTCCATCATAATTATATACCACGATTTGTTCTGCCATTCCGCAGTTGATGAGCATCCCCTCAACTTCCAGTTCTTTGCCAGCAGAAAAGAGCTGGTATAAATATTTTGTATATATAGGTCCTTTTCCTTTTCTTTTTTTTTTAATCTCTTTTGGGATACAGACCTTAATAGTGTATGCATGGTTTTATAGCCCTTTGGGCATAGTTCCAAATTGCTCTACAAAATGGTTGAATCAGTTCACAACTGTAAATTAATGTCTCATTTTTCCCACATCCCCTCCAACATCTGCCACTTTTCTGTCCTATTAACCAATCTAATAGGTATGAGGTAGTACCTCAGAATTGTTTTAATTTGCATTTCTCCAATCAGTAATAAGTTAGAGCATTTCTTCGTATGTCTATAGATAGCTTTGATTACTTCATCATGACACCTTTGTGCACCTGGTGAGCATGGCTTCAAATTTTGTAATTTGATTTCAGACCTCATTGCTCAACTGAACCAATTCTTTTTAAAGTTTACAGTGATTTGCTAAATCTAATGGTCTTTTCTCAGGCCTAATCCTTTTTTACCTATGTGCCACATTTGTTATCATTCACCACCCTTGCCTTCAAGGTGACTCACTCCTCTTTGGCTGTTCATGACACGACTTTCTGCTGCTTTTCCTCCTATGCTTATGTCCCAAGTCCCTAGCATAATGCATAATTGCATTTTTCAGTCAGTTATATGATGGTAAAGGTGCAGTCTGCTGTGGAATATCACATATGAAATACCATCTCATTACTAATGGTATACTCTTTAAGGATAGCTATTATCTGTGTTTAGGTTCCCCTCATAAAAATTTCATGTATAATAACCATATAAGTCAGTATATTTAAAATCTGTTGTTTGCTTTTTTTTGGCTATTAACAAGGTCTAAAAATTTTCCCCCCTCACCTTTGATACTTTCTCCTCCAGTGACCTTGTGAATCAGTTCCTGAACATTTAAAATTACGTCTCATCTATTTGACATTCAAAGTCTTTTACATCCTGGCTCATTATACGTTATTTATAGGATCATAGATTTAGACCTGGCAGGTACTTTAGAGGCAGAGTCTAAGCCCCTTATTGTACGGAAGTTCAAACTGAGACTGAGAGAAGTAATTCATGGTCAAACAGCTAGTCTACGTCTGAGGCAGAATTGAAATTCCTGACTCCAAGCCCATTGCTTTTATTCATGGTACCACAAAGCTGCCTCTGGGTACTGTAAGTTGTGACTCAGCCAAACTGAATCTCTTCCTGTTCTTCCCACAATGGCACTCCGTCTCCCATCTATGTATGTTTGCACCGGCCATACCCTTTTTCCTAAGGAACCCTTACTTTAAGACTTAGCTGAAGTATCACCTTCTACATAAAGCCTTTGTTAATTCTCTCAATCACTAATATCTTCCTTCCATAATTATTTTATACTTACTACCTCATATTTATTCAGAGGCAGGACCCAAAATCCTAATTTTCCTGGCTCTGGTGCCAGCTTTCTAGCTACTTTACCATGGTCCCTTTCCTCTGACATGTACTGATTGCGTGATGCTAGAAGAATCACTTAATCTCTCCATGTTCTAGGAAGGAGAATTCTGCAACAGGCAGATAGGGTGCTGTCTTTTTTTCTGTAGAGTGAGTGGTCTCGTCAGAGGGTTCCCTATGTGAGTTATAGCTACAGTCCCTTTTATTGATTTTGTATTTTTCTGTGGTGCAAATGACTTAAATACTCCTAATATCCCATGAAGTTCCACTCCAAAATATTTTACATATCTCTTTTAAAAACTGATTTGCCCCAAAATTATGAAGTTCTTCAGATCTCATTGAGGGGCAGCTTGGTGGTGCAGTGGATAGAGCACCGGCCCTGGATTCAGGAGGATCTGAGTTCAAACCCGGCCTCAGACACATAACACTTTCTAGCTGTGTGACCCTGGGCAAGTCACTTAACCCCATTGCCTATGCTTAAAAAAAAAAAGATCCATTTAATGAAACACAGGTTGGTGGTTGATTATTGTGGCTATATGAGCTATTTTTAGCTACAAGATAATTTTTTTTAAAGATAATTCTTTAAACACACTTTTCGTAGTTGCTTTTTGTAAACAGAAATAAGTTTTTCTAAGGAAATACATGATCTTTTTTAGAACAAGGCTATTAAACATGAAAAGACTTGACAAATGTTTATACATTTCAGGTTCATAGCACAACATTGACTCAATCATTTAATTTTTCAATTAGTGTACAAAGAAAAATGAGTTCTATAATGTAGGCTTCCTATATCAGTTCTCACATTCAGTAGTTTACCTTTTGATATGAAGAGTCCCCCCTTCACACTTTTCCCCAGTATTCTTTAAAAGTACCATATCTACTTTACAAATAATAAAGTAGTGAGATTGGGGTTGGGGGAGGAGATTGTCCAGCAATTATGTGTTATAATCTATATATCCTATTAATAATCCATATTTGTCATGTGATTGGTTTGCCTCTGGCCATCCCCTAGTACTAGAGGTACAGTCTTGCATTTTAGCTAGGAGTAGAGTAGTAAATATTAAAAGTTCCCTCTTTCACCCCTCCTTCACTTCCCCTGTTACCTCACTCATTAGGAAAAAGTTTATTGTCACAATAATTACAGCTTGGCAAGTAGTCAACTTGTGATTATTGCAGTTGGCTAGGTGCTTGATCACTGGAGGGTGTTTTTGGTTACTAAACAGATGTATTTTGTGGTAAGTTTGCCTTTTGACCTTCAATTAAAATGAAAAAATGCTAATATGAATAATTTTCCTTGTGTGAATGTTCAGAAAAAAATGGAAATGGCTCATGAAGTCTATACCCTGCCTTCTGATTCTTTTTCTTGTCTTTTTAAAAAATCTTTCCCCACTTTCCTGCTATTAGTCCTTCGAACATAATTTTTCTTTTTTCTTCATATTCCTTACAATTTCTGTCTGCCCAGATTTGGGATATCACTCTCTTTGATTTCTAGTAGTTTTTCAAAGGGAAAAGTAGAACACGCAATAAAAGTCTGATTTGAAGGGATAAAAATGGCTCCTTTATTTGTGCTTCTTAATTGATACCTTCCTTTTCTTTAAGGATGCATCATTGATAGTTGTTTCTGTTATCTTATTTGAGGATCCTTCTCTAATTCTGTCCTGTAACTTATAGTGTGATTTATAGGAAGTTTCTCAAAAATAAAATTTTAATACTCTATCATTTTTAAAACATCTGTGTTTGAGGTGTTAGAGTATGGTTCATCGAGAATGGAAAGTTGTTTTTTTTCCTTCACTTAACCCAAACACAAAGAAGTGTGATTGGTTACTTATAAGATTGACTTAAAACTTCAGATGATGTCATATTAACCATAAGAGCTCTTTAAGTGAGTCAGAAATATTAGGTCTATATTAGAGTGTGTATTTGGATTCATTTGTTCCAACATTTATGTCACATTTCATAAGCTTTTATGCGTTCCTTTGCTGCCATGACTTAATTCTTTTTTGTTGATTGTGTTCTATTTTTTCTCATTCCCATGTTCCTTAAAGGTGGAGGAGTTGTTGTTGGCCATGGAAAAGGTAAAACAGGAGCTAGAGTCCATGAAAGCAAAGTTGTCTTCTACTCAACAGTCATTAGCAGAGAAGGAAACTCATTTGACCAATCTTCGAGCAGAAAGGAGGAAACATTTGGAAGAGGTCTTGGAGATGAAGTAAGTGCTTATAATTTAATTCATACAAATACTTGTTAGAAATCTTTTCTGATATTGCTTTTATCTTTTCTTATCATTGTTCATCAGCTCTTAGAGAATTACAAAGTTTTAGAGGTGGAAGGGATGTTAGTGGCTATATAGGCGAACCTAAAAGGAAGCCCCACTATAAAATACCAACCTTAATCTGTGTTTGAATACCTCCTGTGATGGATTACCTCCTTTCTCCCAAGGCACTCTATTCCACTTTTGAGTGGCTTTAATTGTCAGAAAATTTTTCCTTACCACAAGCTTGAATTTGCTGCTTTGAGATTTGTATCCATTGTTCCTGGGTCTGCTTTCTTGAACCAAGCAGAGAAATCTCTCTTCTCCATGAAAGCTGCTTCACATTCTTGAAGACTTCTGTCAGATCTCTTCTCCAGGCCCAAAGTTCCAAGTTCCTTAACCTGACCTCATATAACGTGCACTCAAGGTCTTTTCAACATCTTCATTGCCCAGCTTATCAATGTCCACCTTAAACTGTTGCTCCCAGAACAGAAGACAATACTTCTGGTATAGTCTGACCAGTAGAGGGAATAACTATCACTTGCTTATTTCCTGGAAATTATATGTCCCAATGCTACCCAGAGTCACATTAGCTCTTTTGTTTGTCGTGTCACACTTCTCATATTGAACTTCCATTCCACTAATAGCTCTGTATCTTTTACTGATAAACTGCTAACTATGTTAATTCTGTTCTATACAGTGCACCTTTATATCTTTAAAATTGTGTGGTCACTGAGAGAATCTCTTGTCCAGAAAGCTTTATGAATAATGAACCTATACCAATTTTTTCCATCATTTCAGTTACCAATTTCCCAAGGACAATATTGTCATTGTTAGCTGATTTACCTGTCTTACTGATGATTCTTGACTATTGTAATATTGATATTTCACATCTCTATCACATTTTATGGGTGCGGATTTCCTTACATACTAATGCACATTTGTACAGTTAATCCTTACAACTACTTTTTGTTTTCGTTTTCGTTTTTATTTTGGAGGCAGTGGGGATTAAGTGACTTGCCCAGGGTCACACAGCTAGCTAGTAAGTGTCTGAGCTCAGATTTGAACCCAGATCCTCCTGACTCCAGGGCCAGTGCTCTATCCACTGCATTACCTAGCTGCCCCCCTTACAACTACTTTACGAATTAAGTAGTCTAAATATTTATATTAATGTTTTCCAGATAAAAAAATTGTATTTTAAATTTAAAAGTTCAGTATATTTGTAAATTCAGTCTTCAAAATCTATGTCTAGGGTTTGTTCCACTATGCCTTGCTACTTAATCCTTGTTAATGCTAGATTTAATGCTTGGCAATCCCTCCTGCTTCCTATGTTTTAATGATCTTAGATATGGTTTTAAAAAATGGAGTGGTTAGAGAGACACTATCTAAAATGACTGAGGGAAATCATCCCAGGTGTCAAGCGATTAGAGACTGGAAGAATGTGTCAGTTAAAATAAATTCTTGTTGTTGGAGTTAGCTGATGGGAAATTCTCAGCAAAGACAAATGAAGCATATCCCGTGAGGAAGAAGCAGCTTCTTGTTCTCTGTTCTATATGCAAAAGCCATCAGGTGAGAGAATAATCCAGCATGAGTCAGAGGAAGAGGAGGCTGCTGAGAGGTGCTGATGAAGCTGTTTATTAAACTGACCTAAATAATGGAGAAGTCAGCTGTCTTCTTCAGTAGTTATTTATGTTTTCTTAATCCCCATTTTTTCTATACCATTAATATCTGTGATGTTTTTTCTAACTTCCTCTCTTTGGGATAACCCCAAAAATTGATTCCTCAGGCTCAGCAGTTGTGTCATTTCCCTCATGGACTTGGTCTGGTCTAGCCACTCTTTACTGTCTATGTTTTCTTCCTCATGATGCACATCAAATACAGTGATATTAAAGTCCAAGTGTGATTCTGCTTTTGTTAATGGAGAAAGTTTGAAATTATATCAGAGGAAAGTATGAAAGTATATTTCACTTCTGGTCAGTTTTGTCTGTTCTTGGCAAATCTAAGGCTAAACTAAACTCTAGAAAAATACCCTGTTTTGGAATGTCCTTCTCAGATTTGGTGAAGGAATGAGATATAAATGGTGTGGGTAGAGGATGTGATCTTTTTCCCATCTCTGGGTTTTATGATTGTAATTTTTCAGCAATATTTTACAAATAAATGATTGCCCTAGATTTGGAGAGTTATTCAACTATTCAGTGTGGTGGTAAACTGAGCCTGACAGTGGTTCATTAGAAACATTTTTGTTGTTTAGCCAGGCCTCAAAAGAAAAGGAACATTTTTATTGGCAGGGCCAGCATTCGTTCCCCTACTCTTTGTGTTGTGGTTGCTTATTTTATTTTTTTTGTTATTTAAAAAATATCATAAAACAAAAACTTAGCTAAATGGAAAGAAACAATTTAGATTATGTGGTCTGCTACCACGAGATCTGGATGAGTCCCTATTCCTTAATCCTTCGTCCAGGTTTCTGTTGCACTCCTACCCGTTGCAAAACTATATAACTTAACAAAATTATACTTTTTACTTCTAAGAAAACATTTTTTATTGACCTATAAATTTGACTATCCTGAGAGTTGGTGTGGGGAGGAATATCTCTCAGGTGTGTGTATGTGAGAATCATAGCAACTTAAAATGATGCATCTTATATCCATTTTTCTGACAAGTAATTGAGCTGAACCACCATGTCAGGTGCTTGTTAATATATACATAATGGATACACATTCATGTTGTCCTGTCTGTCTCTCCATATTTATCTTCTTTTTCTGGAATTGTTTATGCCTCTCAACTTGATTCTTTTCTCTGTCTTCTGAATCTTATAGCTAGTCAGCAAGTACTATTAAGCATTTACTGTATGGCAGGCACTATACTAAACTCTGAGGATACAAAGAAAGGGTCAGGCATGGTTCCCACTTTGAAGGAGTCCACATTCTAATGGGGGACATAACTTGCATATAACTCTGTAAATAGAAGATATATACAGTGTAAATGGGAGGCAATTTGAGGGAAACCATGGGGAAGTAAGAGTGGGCTAGGGAAAGTCTCTTGTAGATTGTAGAGTTTGAACTAATTCTTGAAAGAAGCTAGGGAATCAAGGAAGTGGAGATGAGGAGGGAAAGTATTCCAGGTATGAGGGACAGTCAAAGAAAAGGCACCATGTTGGAGTCAGGAGGGTGAGTGTCCCATGCAAAGAACAGTAAGAAGGCCAGTGTTGCTTGATCATAGAGTGTGTGGAGAGGAGTCCAGGCTAAGACTGGATAAGTAGGATGGGACCAGATTATGAAGGACATAAAAGCCAAACAGAACTTTTCTGTGCTTTGTCAGAACTGGAATCCATACCAAATGTTAGAGTGATGGCTTCAAGGAAGTGAGCATAGCTCTAATCTTCATTCCCTCCCCTTTTTGGGGGGAGGTGTCACCTGACCATTTCTGATATTTTTATAACTCGGCTTTTTTTCATTTTGATGTCTAATGTTGAGCTTTGGAATTTTCTTGTTTTCTTCATTAAATTTTACTTATGTTCCATTTATTCAGGGCCAGATGTCTGCATAGTAGGAGGAAATGGATTCATTTTAGAAACTATCTCATTAGCAGAAATTGAGTGTTGTCTTTCTTAGATAAAATAATCTAGTTAAAATGCAATTTTCTAAAGATCTCATCATCTAATCATATTTTTAATCTCATTTTCCTTTCCATTGCCCTGTATGTCAGTGAGGTGGAAGAGAACATGCATTTATTAAACACTTACTATGTACCAAGTACTGTGTTAAGTGCTTTGCAAATGTTAACTCATTTTATTAAATGAATGAATGAAAAATAACTTAATATGTAGGAAGAACTGTGCTAAGTGCTGGGGGTACCAATAGAAAAGTAAGACAGTCTTTGCTCTTAAGGAAATCGCATTCAAATAGGGTTGGAAACACGTATAAGAGGTTTCATTTGCAAGTGTCAGTGATCCTTCGGTGGATGGTTATACATCTTTTTTAGTGTCATTCCATTAATAAAACCATATGCATTTCTGATATTCAACTATTTTTCAGTACCAGTGACTTAGGTGAAGAGAACTCTCTTCTGGGTGTTTACTTGAGGCTGTTGAAGAGATAGTTTCCAAGACAATCTAGTGGGTATACTCTGGACTATACATATTAATTACTAGAATTACAAAAGCTTTGATATGGTCAGCCTGCCAACTGTAAATGAACTTGGAGAATTTTTTTTCTTCCCCATAGTGTCTTTTCCATTTTCTCAATCTCAAACTATGAATTTATCGGCTTAGACAAAATAATTGTTAATGACCATGTAATTTATTAGTAATATCAAGCAATAAAGAAACATGGAAAACATTTAGAGAAGATATAGGTTACAATGTAGCTGTCCTCCAGAGTTGCCTCTGTGCTCAGGGAGAATGTGGAAAAGAGCAGTTCATGGGACTTTAATTTTACATACCCTTGGGGCAGCTAGATGGCACAGTAGATAGAAAAGTGGACCTGGATTTAGGATGACCTGAGTTCAAATCTGGCCTCAGACACTTGACACTTACTAGCTGTGTGACCCTGGGCAAGTCACTTCACCCCATTGCCTTGCCAAAAAAAAAAAATGACATGCCCTTACTTACTACTAGTTAGGCTTGGTCCCTGTTCTAGTGTACTCTGCCGCTACCTACTTATCTTCTCTCCTCTGTTCCGCAATCTATTTGTGATGCCTCACATGATAGCAGAAAGTTCATTTTCAATACCAGTGGAAGCCCAGAGTCACTGGAAGCAAGCTGTCAATTAATTGTCCAATCCGGAATTTGTTCAACTTTGTGAAGATCCAGCAAAGAGACAGAGTCAAGAGGTGGAGGGAGAAGTAGTAATTTTGCCTGACCTCCCCCAAAACCTCCTCTACAATGACCTAGAAAGTGCTTAAAACTGAATTCTGAGGAGGAAAGACCAGAAAAAGTCACAGTGAGTCATTTTCCAGCC